TGGGCATGGGGGGCAGCCCTCACTGTGGGCATGGGGGGCAGCCCTCATTGTGGGCATGGGGGGCAGCCCTCACTGTGGGTATGGAGGGGCAGCCCTCACTGTGGGCATGGGGGCGCAGCCCTCACTGTGGGCATGGGGGAGGGGCAACCCTCACTGAGTCTCTGTCTTCTCGGTGTGATGAATTCATATGTAGCACACTGTAAGCAGGAACTGCTCCCTTCTTCCCCAGTTCTGCCTGACAGAACATTTCCTGGGGCTGGCCCAATCCCACAGGCTGGAGGAGTGTCAAATTACAGGACAGAGGCTTGTGACAAGGCCAGTCCCTCTCAGGTGGATTACCCACAATACCTCAGTGCGGATTACCCACATGTGACTCTTACTGATTATTATTCTTTTATTTTTTGGTTTTTCAAAGCAGGGTTTCTCTGTGTAGCCCTGGCTGTCCTGGAACTCTCTTGGTAGACCAGGCTGGCTTCAAACTTGGAGATCTGCCTGCCTCTGCCTCCCAAGTGCTGGGATTAAAGGCGTGTGCCATCACTGCCTGGCTGGTTATCACATTTTTACAGAGAACCTTTTAAGCAACGGTAGATTCAACACCATCATAAGCCACAGAGCAAGGGGCCCGGTGTCAACTGCTGGGCCTAAGCTGGGCAGCAGGCTCCTCTGCAGAGCTGCTTCCCAGCAGCAGGAGCCAGTCCTCAGAGGGACAGCTAGCTGTGGGGGGCGGGCAGCCTTCCATTCACTATGGGGGGGTGTCGGGGAGAAGCGGGCTGAGATATGCCTTGGATAGCTCCGCTCCATTGGCACTGAGGGCCAGGCAGGAGGGCAGGGTATCCACGCTGAGGGGCGACTCGGGGCTGGCAGAGAACAGGAGCTCAAATAGGGCAGAGACAGCAGCTCAGTGGGGAGGACACGGACTGGGGGAGCGCGCCCCCACAGGAAGGTAAGGAGGATGCCCCTCAAGGGAAGTGGCCCGTTCTGGGAGAACGGGAGAACAAGGATGCGTGAGGCAGGGGGAGTGGGCGCCTGGCAGTGTGGCACAGACAGTCGGCGTGGCTGAGGGCGCAGGGTCTAAGCAGCATGGAGAGAGCGCCTGTTCCGGAGAAGGCCCTCGGTGGGGTTAGGAGTGTGTGCAGGCAGGCGCACACGATTCTCTGAGAGTCACGTAGGTGACACACAAAGGTGTGAGGGGTGCCCTGTGCAGGCTGCCGGCCTTAAGGAGGAAGAGCTTTCCACAGGAAGGGCAGAGGCTGGGGTGCTAAAAGGCCGGAGCTGCCACCCAGGGCTGTGGGCCGGATCCTGGGCATCTGCCTCCCAGGAGGCCACACTGGCTTTCTGATCTCCTCAGTCTACCATGGGGGCTGGTGACTGGCTCTTCACAGTCGGGAGAGTGTCAAAGGGAGGAAACAGAAGGAAGGCTGCAATGCTAGCCGGAAGTGACGGGACTCTGTTGTCATTGTGCACCCTGCATTCGCTCTCAGCGGCTCGGCTTCACCAAGCAGGCTGTGTGCCGCTCTAACAAGCACACAGGCACCCCAGGTCTTCCCAGCACACCAACGGGGAAAGAAAGCTGCAGCAGTTACCCTCCGTTATTCTGATACCGGAAAGCAAGGAAGAAACTAGAACATATCCAAAGGACAGGGACTGGGTTGAAGGGCTTCCCAGCGACAGATCAGAGACTCAGTCAGAGGCACTGGAAATGTCAGCGCAACGGACGGCCATGCGCTATCATACGGTAGAGAAAGCTGAAGAGCAAGGGTCCATCCTGACACAGAGGGATACGCCAAAGGCCAAATGAGCAGGAAATCGAGGCCATTTTAAAGTGTTTCCCTCACAAGTGATTGTCAATCACAAACGACAAAGGGGGAACAGCACAGAGAGGGACCTCACAGATGATTCCTCGCCCAAGTGATCAGATAGGATCGAATGGGTGAGGGGACACATGGAGGCTGTGTGTGGTGGAGGCTGTGTGTGGTGGAGGCTGTGTGTGGTAGAGGCTGTGGTGGAGGCTGTGTGTGGTGGAGGCTATGTGTGATGGAAGCTGTGTGTGGTAGAGGCTGTGGTGGAGGCTGTGTGTGGTGGAGGCTGTGTGTGGTAGAGGCTGTGGTGGAGGCTGTGTGTGGTGGGGGCTATGGTGGAGGCTTGTGTGGTGGAGGCTGTGGTGGAGGCTGTGTGTGGTGGAGGCTGTGGTGGAGGCTGTGGTGGAGGCTGTGTGTGGTGGAGGCTGTGTGTGGTGGAGGCTGTGTGTGGTGGAGGCTGTGGTGGAGGCTGTGGTGGAGGCTGTGTGTGGTGGAGGCAAGGCTCACCAGACAGCCTCACTGTTGCCAAGCTGCACAGTCCTGAGGAACTATGGGAGCCAGACACAGACAGCGGCGTTCTAAACCTCTGCCTTGTCACCTGCAAAGAGTGAAAGTTAAAAAAAAAAAAAGGGGGGGGGGGAGGAAAGATGAGGCCTGCTCTGGGCAGGAGGAGGTTTCCAGGCTGGGAAATGGTATTAAGAGTGTGTGAGGGCTGAGGGTGGACACGTGTGCGCATGTGTGTGCAAGGGGAAGAGCGTGAGTGCAGGGAACACTGGGCAGCCATCGAGCCGGGTGGGGACACAGCCAGGACGCAGTGCCCAAGGAGAGGCAGACGGCCGCGAGGATGGCTTCCGCCTCACACTCCAAACCCAGCAGTTCCTCATCTCTGCAGTACAGCAGGAAAGCAGATAACCCAAGATCACGACTTCTTGACATTTCCAAACTTCATACTTTCGTCTTCTAAATAAGTTAATTAAAGATGTGGCTTAACATTATAAGAAATTTGGCAGAGATCAGCTAATAGCAGAAGCTGGATGATGGCCCAGAAGTGGGAGAGAGAAGCAGCTTGGAGTTGAAAGTCTCTCCTAAATAACCCGCATGGGAGGCACGCTCGCACAGAGCAGGCGGGGCAGGGCGCTCAGCGCATCTCAAGGACCCCTCTTTTAGGGGCTGCTCCCTAAGGTCCAGCAGGGAGGGGCTTTTGAGCAGCACAGGGCTCAACGAGGGCCACGGAATGAGAGGCGCTCCGCAGAATCAACCCAGAAGCCCGTGCTCAGGCCTCGGAACCAGCTCGGCCCTCTCCCCGCTCTGTCCCTCAAGCGGGTTTCAGCTCTAGGGAATGGCTTCAGAGAAGGTGCGGAGCCGCTGGCAGAAGCACGGACGCCATGGCAAACGGACGCACGTGTCTCCAATGAACCACCACCTTCGTGTTAACTAAATTCCAGCTTCCCAAGCCAGGAGAAGCAGCCCCACAGCAAACCCACGTTCGTTCGGGTCACCCTCAGGAGGCCCCGCCCCCGCCTACCAGGTTTCCGACAGCCAGGACATGCTCGAATTGTGGCGTCATAGGGTGGTGCTCCATCGCCATGAACAGCGTGTTGAGGACGATGCAGATGGTGATGGCCAGGTCCACGAACGGGTCCATGACGATCAGGTTCACGATCTCCTTCAGCTTTATCCAGTACGGGTGACACTCCCAGATGAGGAAGGTGTTGGCAAACTTGTACCAGCACGGCGGGCACTTCCTCTGGGATTCCTCCAGCTCTGGAGTGGGCAAAGAGCAGGGTGAGCTCAGTGTAGAGCAAGGGTTCTCGACCCCCCAGGTGCGTGTGGAAGGACCCTTTCACAGGGGCTGCCTAAGACCATCAGAAATCCCGGGTCACAGGTCACACATCTCACACGTCAGAAGTTTACATTGCTATTCGGACACTAGCAGAATCACAGTTGTGAGGTAGCAACGGAATAACCTTATGGTCGGGGTCACCACACGTGAGGGATTGCACTGAAGGGTCGAAGTGTCAGGAAGGCTGAGAACCTTCTCTCTCTGGAGAGAAAACAGGGCGTTCAGCATCTTCCTCTGGTCAGACGGTTGCCACTGTTGAGCCTGCGAATCAAGGGCGCTCGCCTGCTCAGCCTCCCCGTTTCCTTCATCCCTATCCGTAATGACCTGGTTACACACGGAGCTCGGGGTGCTGGGCACCCGACAGGCGGTGATGGCTGGGGCGTGGCCCCTGAACCTGACCCCCAGCTCAGTCGGCTCCAACACCCACGAGCTGGGTGACCTAAAGCAACGGGACTGACCTCCAGCGCTCAGGCGTGTCTCACAAATCGGGGCGGCTGCTCGGGTCTGAACTCGGGGTGAGGTGCTAAGCTCAGTGACAGGATGGTGTGCGTGGAAGGCAGCAAGCGCTGGGCCGGGCACATGCTAAGTGCTCGCTGGACTGGACGGTGCTCTGCTCCACAGCGTGCCCTGGATTTTAATCAGAGCAGCCGTCACAGGCGTCCATGGAGGCCAGGAAGACCTGCCTCAGGTGCTAGGCCAGAAACTTGCCAGTGGTTGCCGGACCATGAAAAGGTTAAGGTGCTTTGGGGGAGGTCTGGGGGCTGGGAGGGATGGCCCCATCAGCAAAGTGTTCACTGGACAAGCCTGAGGCCTCGCTCAGATCCCAGGGACCCAGTAAAAGCTGAGCACGGCTGTAACCCCAGCACCGGTGGGACGGGACCATCAGGAGCTCACTGCAGCCAGCCCCGCCTCCTGACCTCTGGCCTGGAGCATGTGCACAGACGTGTTCCTGTTCTCTCTCTCTCTCTCTCTCTCTCTCTCTCTCTCTCTCACACACACACACACACACACACACACACACACACACACACACACACAGCTAAAGAAGCCAAATCATCTACCTCGTGCCTCAGAATGTAGCAGCCACTGGACGCTCTGGTGAGCATACCTGGTGGAAATGCTGTCTCCACCAGCGGGAAAGGCATCACCAGCCACCACACGCCACACCCGTATCTGCTGTTTTTAGAGCGCAGGCCAGAGTGGTGCCCCACCAAGAGGCTGAGTTAGCGCCACAGGGCACCCTCTCCTGTATCCCTCTCTCTCCCAGCTCCATCTCTCTGCCGCCCCCTGCTCTCATTCTCTCCTTCTCTTCCTGTGGCTCCTCTTTCCGTCCCCTCCGCACCATCTTTCTTTCTCCTTCCCTCGCTTTGTCTAACTCCCATGTCTCTCAAAAGAAGCTAGGTTCTCAAGCGCCTCGTGTGGCCGGTACCTGAGGGGGTTAGCCCAGAACTGCTCTGGAAGGAGGGGTTTGCGGCACGGCCCAGAGATGCCCTCCTTCTGGTTCCCCGCCCAGAGCCACGCCGACACACTGACACCCTCCTCCAGGTGACAGCCCCAGAGCTGTGACACGGCTGGCACTGAAAGGACACTAGGTGGCCCTAGGTCATGCAGGAAGCCAGAATTAAAAAGAACGACCGCACGGCCATGGCCAGAGCTGCTCGGCTGGCTGCGGCACTGCCCTGGGACACTCTTAGTGACAAGAATCTCCTCAAATAACAGGAAACATAACAGCTGTGATCACAAAACTCCAAGTTCCTCATCCAGGGAAGGTGCCCCTCAAGAAGCCGAACTTGAAAACCTTCATGAGGGTGTCCTTGGGACAAGGAAGTAGGTCCACAGGACCCAACCCCAGTTACACCGATAAAATAAAAGATTCTCCATGACGCTGGGCATCCCTATAAGCCTAGCCCTCAGGAGACTAGTGCAGGAAGAGGGCCCCAAAACTAGGCCAACCTGGGCTAAATGACAAGTTCTGGGCTAGGTAGGGCTGCATACGTCCTCATTCATAAAAACAAACCCATCATCCAATCAAACAAAATGCCGAGAATGGAAAGGCCGCTGGGGACCATCTGCTGCCCCTTCCCCAGCAGCCGCGCCTTGAGTTCAGGTAGGGGTGGTTTGGGTTGGCCAGCTGACTGGCTTCCTGGTTGCTAAGAAAATGGTTGCCTTGGTTTTCAGATGGAAGGGCCCCAGCGAGAGCCACGTGGGAGTGTGCGTGGGCAAAGAAGTCTGTGACGAGAATTCGCCGTGTCCTCTTTCTCACGGAACCCCTCCTTTCCCAAGGTAAATTTAGTTTTCTTCCCCCGAGAAAATGAAAAGGTTCTCTTATTTCCATAAATTCTTACGGTGCATATTTGGAAATCTGGTTCCGTTCCTTTTTTATCTCCTCCCTCCTCCCGGCGTCTGCAGCTCGGCGGCTCCCACTTGTGGAAGATGGAGCCCTGACTGGTCACACTTGAGAGGCCACGCAGTTGCCACACTTGACAGACTGGGCTCCAAGTCTTAGCAGACAGCAAGGGGCTCACTACCTCAGGGCCGCCCGGAGGATCCCTGCGGGGCTAGGCTTTCCTGTCCCCTCCTTGAGCTGAGGACGTCCTCGGGGAGACAGCCGCACAGGGAGCGTGAGGACGGGAGCTCCGAGGGGAGGCGTGTTAGTGTCTTTTTATTGCTTTAGCTTTTGAGGCTCTGCTGGGTCCCTTGGATCTTCCTGCCTCAGCTTCCCCAGTGGCAGGAAGGACAACTGTACCTCACGCTTTTACGGTGACTGCTCTTACCGCCGGCCCCACGGGCCTTCACGGGAAAGTGTTTGCGGGGGCTGAGGTGTGGAGTCTCTCCCACGTTGCTTCCCGGGATCTTTAGAGGGGTGGCCCGCATGGCGTGGCCCGAGGGGAGGTGGCCCGAGAGACGCGGCCCCAGGGGTACTGGGGACTGTCTGCAGGGTGCAGAGACTGACGGACCAGAAAGCTTACGGCGAGAGTTTCCCTCAACCTAACAACTTCCGGCGGTTTTCAGGGGACAGAAGGGTCCCGGCACTTTCGGCTGAACAGGAGAGAGAGCATCGATCGGAGAGAACAGAGGCCGTTCAGGTGGCTGCTGACACTCTTCAGCCCAGCGGTGTGGCCCACCCTTCGCACCTCTGGGGTACCAAGGCTCCTACAGCGGCTTCTTAGGGGTTCTCCTTCCATGCTGTCTCTACCAACGTGCGCGCGCACACGCACACGCACACACACACACACAGTGAGCTAAACAACGTGCCCTGTGGCTAGCAAGTCCATGTCAAGCGCCACCCTCACGGGGACTGAGGCTAGTGCCGAGTTGGCCTGGCTTAGTGAACGGTGGGAGCAGCTCTCTGAAGCCCCAAGAACATTCAGACTGGCTGCCCCAGCATGCCCAGGAGAAGAAAACGCCAGCAGAACCAAAGGGAATCCTAGTGAGGGAACCTCGCTCCTCAGTTTATCTCCAAGAAGAGCCTGGGACACATCCCGGAACGGCAGGGAGGCGGGCACGCGCCGGGGTCCCACGGCCTAAAGGCGTCTCCCCCATGCCACGCTGTGTCACGAGAAGCCGCGCAGCACAGGGCTGGCAAGGCTCACAGACTACACTGCAGACGGGTTGTGGCGCCACTACAAGCAGTGGAGGGCCGCTTGCTCCCCGTGGCGCCAAGTCCCGGAGACAGGCTTCGCTCTGGGTTTCTGGCCACACAGTTTATACATCCGTGTGTGTGTGTGTGTGGGGGGGTGAGTGTGTGTGTGAGTGTTGGGAGAGTGGGAGCATTAGGAATGCTCAAACACACAGTATAAGTTCCTTCAGAGAAAAACCTAAAGGGCCGTAAGCCACCGGGGAGGAAGGGAGGAAGGTACACCTCGAGGCAGAGCCAGGAAGGGGGCGCCGGTACTTGACACGGGTGCTTTACCCACACGTCCTGGGGTCTCTCGGCTTCCCTGGAGCTTCCGGAGGTGCTGGGCTCACTCTGCCGTGCCTCTGTCCTTCCCACCCGTGTGATGCCTGAGTGGGTCTGAGGGCTCTGGGAAGACGGTTTCTGAATTTGGTCAGGTCTATCCACAGGCTCATGGAGTCTCATGAGGGGCAGGGCTGTATTTACCACACACAATACACGCCGAGCCCGGCTGCTCGGACAGGCACGCCAGGGCACATACCTTCCACCAGTGTGTTTGTGACAACACTCATTATGCTGTTGATTCTGTCCTTCCGTCCATACGAGGCCAGCTGCTCCATGGAGACCAAGAGAGACCCGGGGCCTTTCTTCTTAATCTCCACCTCCGTTGTTCCCTGAAAAATAAAATAAAATAAAGAAATGGGGTGAGCAAAGCTTGGAAAACACAAGGCCTGGGCCCCGCTGACTGAGGTCCAGAGTGTGAGCTCGAACCTGATGATCTGCATTGCTCTTTAAAAATCTTTGATTTTTTATTTTGAAACTAGTTCTTTGGGAATTTTGTAAGACATGTTTTGAGTCTATGTGTTCCCTCTCCCAGCTTCTCCCAGGTCCGCTCGCCCCGCTGTCCCTACCCACCCGACTCTGTGTCCTCCCACCTCTCCAGGCAGCCAGCAGTGCCTCAGCCAGGGCGGGCTTCATGCCCACCTCCCCTCTCCGTGCTGGGATTTGGTCTGGCTGGAGCTGCCACAGGTCTTACCCAACCGTGGGCCCTGCAGGCTCTAACAGTGACTGACCCCGGCAAGGCACCCTGTGAGCGGCGGCGGCACAGACACTCAGGCAGTGACCAGCCACTTGGGCTGGATTTAGGTCCTGCTCCGTAAGGTGCTAAAAAAGAAATCCTGACCCTGTAATCCTACTTACAAGTTGGCCAAGGATCGACTTTAGTTCTGTGGAAGGAACAAGTCATTGGCATTTAGTGTGATCTTCAAAGAACCCAAGGCTCCGCCTGGGACTAATCACCTCACCTGGCTAAGCACGAAGCAGGAATACCATGGTCCCTACTGACAGCATGGCTGGAAACAGACCCTGTGCTCTCCTGGCCTCAGCTCACAGCCAAAACATTTGGCTAGAATTGGTTCACTTGCCAAAACAAGGCAAGTCTGGGAGGCCGAGCTCCTGCCCAGACTCTGCTCCCGGTCTGGAGACGATCCACCTCTCTCTGCCCCACCCTCAAATGAGGAGGGAAGTCAGAGCTGCACCTAAGCCTCTCCAAGTCACGGGAAGAGGGTGATAAAACTGACCTTGAACATTTTTTATATGCTCCTCTGGACATTTGAAAATGGCCAATTTGAAAATACCTCATTTTATGCTGGGTATAGTGGCGCATGCTTTTAATCCTAGCACACTGGGGCACAGGGGCAGGTGGATCTCGTGAATTCAAAGCCAGTCCGATCTACACATAGCGAGTTCCAGGATACCCAGAGCTACACAGTGAGACTCCATCTTAAAAAACAAAACTCACTGAATTAAATTACAGTGCTTGAATTTCCTAACCAAATAAAATAAAAGTGGCAAACACGTCATCGGACGTTATAAAATGTATCTGTTACATGCTCAGTGGTACCCAGGTGCGGCAGCATCTCTCTCCATCACCATCACCATCATCGTCACCGTGACCATCACTTTTAACGTATGTGTGTGTATGTGTGTGTTGCTTTGCCTGGGTGCATGTCTGTGCACCATGTGTGCCTGGTGCCGAGGAGGCCAGATCCCCTGGAACTCGACAGACTGGAGTTGTGAGGAGCCACTCACATGCTAGGAATCAAACCCGGGTCCTCTGGAAAAGCAGTCGCCTCTCCAGCCCCCAGACACGAGTTTCTTGCTGCCCCTGGATAACGCTCTTTGTGACTGCGTCAGACCAGCTTAGAGGATGGCTTAGAACCCGCCCCTTCGGTAACCATGCTGTCCCCTGCATTATGTCACCCATGTGGCCTCTTCTGCTCCTTCCATGGTGGCTTGGGCAGTCACCACTTCCAGCAAAGGAAAAGACATGCTTGCAAGGAGGCAGGAGAAGCATGTCAGATGAGCTCCGAGATGAAATAAAACACTTTGAGGGAACTGCTCAACAACCTCTGTCCTCACACGCTTAGATCCGAGAGGCTTAGAGCGGTGTTTCCTAGCAGACGACGGACTTGCTCTCAGCAAAGTGCTTACTCTCTTTGGTAAACACTTGGTCCATCCAGGTCTTGTTCGTGTAGCAGGGTCACAGAAGAAACGGAAAAATAACTGACTCTAGATTTTTACCGAGTTGACTCGTCTATCAACCTACAGCATTCATGACAGATGAGTTCCACAGCGTTTACCCCTAAAGGACCCAGTGATGAGTCAGGAGTGGAAAACTGCATATAATGTGGTTTTGGTCTCTCACTATTTTCTGAATCTGTACATAATAAGATATAACTTCCTCAGACTGTACTAGCAACAACCTTAAAGAAGAAGACAAGGTGAAGCATTATTTTCTGAATCTGTACATAATAAGATATAACTTCCTCAGACTGTACCAGCAACAACCTTAAAGAAGAAGACAAGGTGAAGCAGAGTCTAAAGGATGGAGTGAAAACCCTGGATCGTTGTTCAAGGACCCTTACTCGGGAACCGACGTTTGCCCCGCAGTGCTGTGGACGGGACTCAGGCCACGTGTTCCCTGCTCAAAAACCTCCACACAGACCACAGGAAGGTCAATCTCCAACCTGCTGAGGCAGGGCAGCTACTGCTTCTGTCTTCTCACCACTCGTGAGTAGAGCGCAGAGACTGTGCAGGGCCCAGCAACACGGTTTCACCAAGGAAGGCAAAGTAGGCTGAGTCAGTGTCCCGGGCTGACAGAACGAAGAAGGTGTGTGAGATCCCCCAGCCCTGAGAAACAGCACCCACAGACCAGACAGCTCAACAGACTCAGAGAGAGCACCAGAAGACGGCGGCTTCAGCCTGACACCACATCCCCGGCAGCCGAGAGCCGGCGCCACACAGCCCTGTCAGACTGCACTCCCAGGGGGACATCCGCCGGGTTAATCCTTCCTCAGTTCTCACACAGAATTAGTGGAGGTGATTAGAGAGGTGAAGACGGAATCGGGAGCCATGTCAGCTGAGGGCAGAGGCAGGGTTCTCCATAAAATGCAGAAGGTGGAATCACAAGATAAGAGCTGATGTCGGACTTTGTCACAAAAGACCTACATTTAGAACAACTAAGAAACTAGCAACTCACTAAAAAATGAGTTAACAGCAGTCAGAAGATTTTAGACAATGCACTAAAGAGGACACAGGCAGGCTGGAGAGGTGGTTCCGTGGTTACAGACATAATGCTATTCCTGAGGACCTGAGTTCAATTCCCAGCACCCACATCAGGCGGCTCACAATTGCCTGAAACCCCAGCTCCTGGGATATCTGCTACCTCAGGCCTCTGTGGGTCTGTGTATTCATGTGCATACATCCCCCATATAGAATGAAAATAATAAAAATAAGCCTTCTAAAAAAGAGGGCATATACATTCCAACAGCCCAACAGCCCAACTGCCTCTGCCAGTCGGGATGCCCCAGACTCATCAGGGCTCAAGATGGACGTCTGAGCCACAGGTGGGCCCTGCCCACAGCGGCCATGGCACTGGGTCCTGAGCACCTGCACGCAGCGGCCGTGGCACTGGGTGGCTCCTGGGCTCTTGTACACAGCGGCCGTGGCACACTGGGTGGCTCTAGCAGGAAGAGCTGCTCCTCCAAGTGCACTAGGGGCCACGCCTGCAGAGAGGCCCCCGACAGCTGCTGTGGGAAGAGCTGGGTTTCCCTTGTGTAAACAAGCGTGTGTACAGGCCTGGATCTGCTTTCATGCAAAGCTGATCCAGCTACAGGCAATTTCTTATACCTAACGGACTCTACATCCTATTACACAGACGCTGGCTTACCCGCATTCATTGCTGCTCCATTCATAAGAGGAAGGACCTGGAAACAGTATCTGGATGTCTGTTAATGGACAAATGGATAAAGATGCAGAATGCTGGGTGTGGAGGTGCACGCCTGTAATCCCAGCACCCAGGGAGGCAGAGGCAGGTGGATCTTTCTGAGTTCGAGGCCACCCTGGTCTACAAAGTAAGTCCAGGACAGCCAGGGCTACTCAGGGAAACCCTGTCTCAAAAAAACCAAACCAAACCACCACCACAACAAAAGATGTGGTATGCCTGCATACTGGACTATTACTCAGATGTTAGAAAAAATGAAATAATGAAATCAAAAAGTAAATGGCTGGAGCTAGAAAAACCATCATAACAGACGCAACCTGGATCCCAAAAGACAGACACTGTATGTACTGGCTTCTATGTGGATGTTAGCTGCTAAGTCTTCAATACGCAGGGTACCAGCCACGTAATCACAGAGGTCAAGTGCAGAGCAAAGGACTGGGGGGAGGGCTGGCTCACCCTGGGAAGGGGAATTAGACTAGATAGCTGCGGATGGACTGAGGCAGGGGACTGGAGGAAGGAGGAAGGAGAAAGGAGGTGAGAGCGGGAACGGGAGCGGGACAGCTAAAACTAAGGGCCATTTGAGGGCGCCTGTGGGAATGTACAGAGTAGGTGCTTCCTAGAAGACATACACACAGGAAAGCGATCTAAATGGAGCTGCCAGCGAGGGGTGGAAACGTCTCTTGTCACCGAGTAAAGCTTCCAGTATTGGGAAGGGGTTACATCTCATCAAACTGTTTGCCAAAGGGGCTCCACGGATCCTCCAAGCAACCCAGGCTGTTGTCAAGGCTACCGCTTACTCTCCACTGACTGATAGGAAGGCCCTGCTCCTGAAGGCAACGCCCACACGACCCACTGAACATGGAGAAGTCACCTGTGCCTACCTAGAGCCTTCACACCTAGCGCTTACGGTTCTGGAAGGTGCTCCTGAGGGGACAGGTAAACGCCAGCCCAGCTCCAAAGCCTTCCACCTACAGCGCTGACCTACACGGAAGATGCGCTCTGGCAATGCTGGCACAAAGCCAATGCATGACTGGATTTTAGGCTCGATCCACGAGATGGAACCCGTCCCTGGTGGCACTGCTTGGGTGGCAAGAACCTGAGACTAGCCGGGCCAGGGGCCTCGGGCAAAACCAAATACCGGTCTGCTAAGGGGGCATAGCAGCACATGGCTCCTAGCGCCGTCTGCTGTACTCACAGACCAGCGTGCTGCTCTGCCACCAGTGCAGAGACCCTCAGCCCGAGGGGGTGGGAGGCCTCGGAGCACTAAGTCCTAAAGAAGCGTCCCCATCCACTCCCTCCCGCCACGGCTCAGGGAAGCCTGGGGGACGGGGCCTGGGAAGATGTAAATATGGAAGTGATGAGGACAGCAGGGAACAGGACCCCAAACAC